AGAGGCAATGGTTCCAAAGCCCTTGCGCAAATGCGTCCCCAAGTCCTCCGCGTTCTCCGCTCGGGGCTGATGTTTGGATACGACTTGGGCCATGGCATATATGTTATTGCGGTCATCGTTCTTATCACCACCGTCGGCGCTGGGCTGATAGCATTGATCGCGGAAGAAGAAGTAACCGTGTTCGACCGTGTCCTTAAAGTCGAGCGGGTTGGCACCACAATGACACTGCTGGAACTCGAGGTTCTTAGAGTCGCCCTGGATGGTGTCAAAGAAGGCGGTAGCACCTGTGTCGGCACAGTCTGCACGCTTGTGTGTCTCGCAACCATACCAGTCCTCAGTGGTCTGAGTTGCAGGCGCGTAGGGTGCAAGCGAGGCCCCGGTTGTTCGTCCGGAGCATAACCCAGATTCACAACAACCAAATCCGGCTGGACAATGCTGGCATAGTCCGCTGTCACCGGTACCAGGTTCGTACGGAAGAGTGCCGATGTTCCCATAGTCGTAATGACACACCACGAACGTCTTCCACGCCTTCTTCCCGTCCGAAGCATGACAATTACCCACCACCGTGCAGCCCACAGACGTCGCCTGCGGGCGCACCAACTGCTTCCAGTGACCCACCGGCCGCGCAGCGTCGTTGCTCCCCCCCGTGTTCCAGTTGAAGTCCGCACGCTCCGCGTACCACTTCGAAACCACGTCGCTGAAATCGTCCGAACTGGGACGCACCGCCGTACTCGTGTACAGGTTCTCGCCCGTCGATATCCGGTACGGCCACGAAGGAATACCAGACTCCTTATCTGAAAGCACACCCTCTTTCACTCTAGGCACACACCAGGCACACACACGAAGCAAGTACGAAGCACGTACACACACGAAGGCAAGCCTCACGCACTTCTAAACGCCACCGTTTCCATATTCGCGTGTGAGGACGTCACTGACTCACACTGGCTCAGAAGCATCAGCCGGCCCAGGCACACGCAGGACAAAATGGTTCGGTTCAGGTGCTTCAGGAGTCCCACCCTGAAGCGCCCGTCAGGGCATGTCACTGAGGGGTAGGAAGGGCAAGTCTTACTGGGACTGTGGTCGAAGAAAGTGGAGTCCTGGTTTTCACAGAGGTACTGTGCCCATTGCCGCGAGAAGGCCTCAAGGTGGAAGTCCCAGACGAGTTTAGTCATGTAAAGTGCGGCAGGTGCTTCCAGTTTCCGGACGTAGTTGTGCATGTCGAGAAGTGATTTGCGGATGCGCCAGCCGTTGTCCGTGGTGTCGGTATAGAAGCTGCCTCCGCCGAGGAAATTGGCTTCGTCCATGGGCGAGCCCTGTACGTGTGTAATGGGATACGGGTCATCTCCCCAGGCGGAAGGCAAAGAGACTTTTCGGAGGCTACCGGAACGGTTCGACATGGTGTCAGGCGTCGGCGCCTCCAAGTCAAGTAACTCTTCAGATGGGCTGAAACCTCGCACCAGGCCGCTGGTAAGAGCGGTAGCATACGAAATGGCCCTTAGCGTTTTCATTCTTGCGACGTACTCTGACCCACTAGCCCCACTCTGGCGAGCATGCACGACAAAACACAAAGCATTGCGGAATTTTTGTGCTCCAAAGTTGCCCCATGCCTTCCAAGCGCAGAAACAACGGACGCGGCAAGAAGAACTGTGGACACATTCGAAACGTCCGCTGTGTCAATTGCGGCCGCTGCGTCCCCAAGGACAAGGCCATCAAGCGCTACAATGTCAGAAACATCGTAGACGCCTCTTCTAGGAAGGACATCAAGGAGAACAGCATCTTCGAAAGTAAATAACACCCCTTCACGCTGGAAGCACTCATAGATGCTAGTTAAACCGCGGGAGCCAAATGGAAGTCCGGAGATAGTGGCTATATTTTCAATTCCCTGTCGCTTATTAAAGGAGGACATTCCCGTCTTGACATCAGCGGGACATTCCTCTGGAGACTCTGTGTACGTCTTGACGTCGCTTAGTCTTCTATTAGGTCTTGACATCTCTTGGGGGGGTCTTGACATCTCTTGGGGGGGTCTTGACATCTCTTGGGGGGGTCTTGACATCCCTTGGGGTGACATCCCTTGGGGGTGACATCCCTTGGGGGTGACATCCCTTGGCGGTGACATCCCCTGGGGGTGCTGACATTCCTTGCGGGCCTCCTTTGCTTGAGGAACGATTCCCCAAGCAAGTCTCTTGGAGGTCTTCCCGCGGGTCTTGGCGACCCTAACTAAGCCCTCCTGTCTGTGGCTTTGTAATTGGCCCTTGTAACTAGCGTCTTTCCCAAGACCTCCTCCGCGAATCGTTTCCGTGGCCCCCGGTGGTGGTCATAGACTTACACACACATGCTTGCTTCTTCCTGTAGACTACAACTTGCCCAAGTTGTACATTCAGCAGATCTACTGCATTTCTTGCGGTATCCACTCCAGAATTGTCCGTTCTCGCTCTCGCGCGGACAGAAAGATTAGGTACAGCCCTTCTAAGTCTATGGTCACTCGTCCCGTTCGCGCCTAGATGGTTAGTTAGCCCTGCGTGCTAAACGTTTTTTAAAAGACAAAACGCGAATATCGACTTTAGAAATTTACTGCAACGACTGGGGCATGCCTTCTAAACGCAGGAACAACGGAAGAGCTAAGAAGAACTGCGGCGCCGCCCGGAATGTCCGTTGCGTCAACTGCGGTCGCTGCGTCCCCAAGGACAAGGCCATCAAGCGCTACAATGTCAGAAACATCGTAGACGCCTCTTCTAGGAAGGATATCAAGGAGAACTGCATATACGAAAGTAAGCGATGCAATAATCCCCCCACACATCTCGCCGTGCACCGACCTGTTCATTCCGCCCATTTCTCCTTCCGTTCGTTCACCTACCTCGGCTCATAACTTTTCTTTATGTAGACTACAACTTGCCCAAGTTGTACATTCAGCAGATCTACTGTGTGTCGTGTGGTATCCATTCCAGAATTGTCCGATCTCGCTCTCGCACCGACAGAAAAATCAGGTACAGTCCGTCAAAGGCCCGCGTCGTGGGAGCTCAGAACTTTTTCTAATTAGCTGACCCACCGGAGGATATATGCACTCAGTCAGGAGACTGTCCAGGGCAGGTACAGTTAGAACAAGAACGAGGTTGGAAGGGAATTTTCCTGGGTCATCGAGTGGGTGGGTGAGTGGGTGCTGCTGGATCAGTGAATGACGGTGGGTGGGTGGGTGCTGACGGCAGGGAAAAACCCAACTGGATTAGTTGGGTGCTTTAGGTGAAGAAGTGTGTTAAAACACACTTCATCAGCGCAAGAAGTGTGTTTGAGGAGTGTGTGTGCTTTGGGGGT